ATACTGGTTGATTGTGCAATGTAGGATGTTGGAGGACTCTTCATGTAAATATATTTTTCTGATTTTGAATTCAAATACCTAAAATATTATTCTTTTTTTATGCGATGAATAAAGGAATAGAGTGCTATTCATCTTTAAGGTTCCCATCAAGTTCTCATTTCATGCTGCCTAATCCCACTGGGCTGTTCTACACATAAGCCCAAGTGGAACTTATGACTCGAGTGAGTGAGTGAGTGAGTGAGTGAGTGAGTGAGTGAGTGAGTGAGTGAGTGAGTGAGTGAGTGAGTGAGTGAGTGAGTGAGTGAGTGAGTGAGTGAGTGAGTGAGTGAGTGAGTGAGTGAGTGAGTGAGTGAGTGAGTGAGTGAGTGAGTGAGTGAGTGAGTGAGTGAGTGAGTGAGTGAGTGAGTGAGTGAGTGAGTGAGTGAGTGAGTGAGTGAGTGAGTGAGTGAGTGAGTGAGTGAGTGAGTGAGTGAGTGAGTGAGTGAGTGAGTGAGTGAGTGAGTGAGTGAGTGAGTGAGTGAGTGAGTGAGTGAGTGAGTGAGTGAGTGAGTGAGTGAGTGAGTGAGTGAGTGAGTGAGTGAGTGAGTGAGTGAGTGAGTGAGTGAGTGAGTGAGTGAGTGAGTGAGTGAGTGAGTGAGTGAGTGAGTGAGTGAGTGAGTGAGTGAGTGAGTGAGTGAGTGAGTGAGTGAGTGAGTGAGTGAGTGAGTGAGTGAGTGAGTGAGTGAGTGAGTGAGTGAGTGAGTGAGTGAGTGAGTGAGTGAGTGAGTGAGTGAGTGAGTGAGTGAGTGAGTGAGTGAGTGAGTGAGTGAGTGAGTGAGTGAGTGAGTGAGTGAGTGAGTGAAGTGAGTGAGTGAGTGAGTATAGATTTTACGACTCTTTTAGCAATATTCCAGCAATGTCATGGCAGGGGACACCAGAAATGGGCTTCACACATTGTACCCATGTAGCAAATCGAACCCAGGTCTTTCGCGTGATGAGCGAAGTTCTTAACACTAGGTTACTCCTTGTGCAAAAAGAAAATGTCATTGAGATCTTTAGGTTACACATTATGTTGGTCTTCCAGCATTTGGATATCATTCAATGGCTTCCTTTTAAGACTAACCCCTATAAATCGTTGAAGATGTAAAAGTTAACAAACAGGGGATGAATATGATGTTATACCATGACAAATATGAGTCCTGGGAGTTAAAAAGCTGGAGATTATTTTTAAGGTGAAAGAGGTGTGTGACTCTTGGAACACTGACAGTATTAAGGATAAAACCAGGCCCCCGTTCCACAAAGCTATCTTAGCGCTAAGTCGGTCGTAACTCCCATTCTTTAATTGGTTGGTTGGTTGGTTTGTTGTTTAACGCCGCACTCAGCAATATTCCAGCTATATGATGGCGGTCTGTAAATAATCGAGTCTGGACCAGACAATCCAGTGATTGATATCATGAGCATTGATCCACGCAATTGGGATCAATGACATGCATCAACCAAATCAGCGAGCCTGACCACCAGATCCCATTAGTCGCCTTTTACAACAAGCATAGTCGCCTTTTACGGCAAGCATGGGTTGCTGAAGACCTATTCTACCCCGGAATCTTCACAGGTTCCATTCTTTAACACTGACTTACGACAGTCGTAGCACTAAGATCGCTTTGTGGAACGGGTCCCAGGACTGGTTGGCTCGGAGTCAGTATATCTCTTACACACACGAACGTGCATGCACGGGGCTCAAACGGGACTTAAACCCCATTTAACCTCACCTCATTACCTTGGATAGGGTCTGACAAGACAATCACAAAGGATAAGACAAGAGATGGTGAGTCTTTCACAACTTTTATTAGGAATTCAGCACTTATATCATATCAACACAAAGCTTCACTGGTCACATAGCTGCTACAGTCAGAACATCGTTGACATAGAATTTAAAATATAATTTCTATTTTGCTGCACCACATCCCAAGTAATACAGTCCATGACATTTGTTGTCACTTGCTGTTAATAAGTCATAAAGGTTCCTTATAACAATTCAAGATAACTCTAAAATTGTTCACAATATTCACTGTTGAACACATCCTAAGGAAAGGACCATTTCAGTAAAATGAGGTGTCAGGTTTTATCCCACCTCCTATTGAGAAGAGCCCATATATTCACAGAAATCTGAATTTCTGATTAAAACAATGAAATTGTCTTTTTTTCATTATGAAACGACCTCTTTAAGGAGAGACATCTCCTACAATAAGAGAGTGACGCCATTTGAACAGTATTCCAGTTATACCACGGCGTGTCAGCTTAATGTCTGAGGAAAGCCCGAAGTGATGCAGGTTTCCGACATTTACCACTTTGGTGAAACCACGGGTATGGTGCTAACACACCCAGAAACATAACCGGATCCTGACGTCACCAAGGAAGACAACTCTGCACATAGAATTGCAGGGCCTTAGACGACTGGCCCACCCGTGCCCCCAATAAAAGAGTAAGAGAGATGATGGTGAGTAATGTATCCTACCACTCCCAGGAACACTCCAGGTGTATCATGTCAGGAGACAACAAGTAAGGGCTTCACACATTGTCCTCATGTTGGGAATCAAGCCTTGTTCTTCAGTGGGACAAGCAAGTGCAGTAACCACGAGGCTACCCACTGCTACTAATACCTGACTGAGAGTTTAGGCTGCTTATTGCAATATTACAGCAATATCACAGCAAGGAACACTCAGAATCGGACTCACATATTGTATCAATGTTGGGAACTGAGCCCTGGTCTAAGAAGCAAGGGCCTAACCACCCGCTGCCCTACTACCAAAGACCCCCCAAAACTCATTACCTCAAGTTACGCAACAATTTCCAAAATCATTGGGAAACTAGATCATTTCCTTAATAATTGCATAAATGTATTTAATTCCTCACTCAAATAATATCACTAGAGACAAAAATTACTTTTCAAAACTGCTACAACTGACTGTATTTCATCTTCTGTTCAATCTGTGACTCTCACAGGACCAGATAATACATTGCATATTAAAACATATGAAAAATTCAACAAGCAACAATAGATTCTCACTAGAGTTAAAATACATTTCTTGCTTATGATAGCTTCATTCTTCTGTTTCTACCTCTGTGCTATACACAACATTACAAAAATACAGCTGTATTCATAATACTGCAGTCATAGACTTCCAAACGAAATGAATCACCAACACAATGACATCTACCCTAACAAGCCAATCTATGCATTATTGTGTTTCAAAACATTTTTTGAGAAAATAACAAAATCTACAGTACATGTCACAATCAGAAAAAGTTTGCATTTTAAAAACATTTTGCTAGACATGGACCACCTGTTTTGACAGGTACGAGTTTTACATGTCAACCAAACTACTTCGTCTTATATACAAACTAACAACTCATCACATACAATAAAACACATCTCCATAGGAATGATAAAGTGTCATACAAACAATTGTACAAAAAGCAAATTATACTCTTCAAAATATACTAATATCTTCTACTCAAAACTGCCTTTAAGTTAAAAATACAAGTATCACAATCGCTAACGGCTCATAGCACTTACATATTCATCTTCAGCTAAAAAAATAATAATTAGAAACAAATATTCCTTAGTTCTGAGGCACTGCCTGCAGAAGAAAAATAAAAAATTACGTCAAAGTGATTTTTTTCTGTTCTTGTAGACAAAACTTAAATATTCGGACACCAGATAGCCAACCATTTCTTAGAAACAGGCTGCTGATGTCAGACATTGCCTGAGAACCAACTGTTGCGAAACAGTTTTTTTTCCAACCCGATTTTTTTCTCAGGGTACAGAGATTGCAACCCAAAACCGAGGGAATTTGGAATATCTGGGATAATAATGGTCCAAAATTAGTCATTTTATTTTTATATTTAACACCATCAACATGATTGAATGTATGTTTCTGACAGAAATAAATCACACTTGACAGGAAATGATTATGATATTCATCAAACATGGCCTCTTCTGGTTGGAAGAAACTTGAGTTCCGTCAACATAAATGAGTTATCCCCCTTTAATCACCATTCGTATCAGAGCTCATGGTGTCTATGAAAACTTGACTAGCGAGTGAGTAGGGTTTTACGCTGCTTTTAGCAATATTTCAGCAATATCACAGCGGGGGACACCAGAATTGGGCTTCACACATTGTACCCATGTGGGGAATCAAACCTGGACCTTCGGCGTGAAGAGCAAACGCTTTAACCACGAGGCTACCCCACCGCCCTGAAAAGTTCACGAAGTTTTATCTATTTTCTACTTGTGTCTGTACAAACCACCATTAAGGATGTCCACTGGTCTTCATGTAATGAATCTGACTTTTTAAACCCTTTTTTTAAATATAAAAGCATATTTCTTAAACATTCATAAACTAATCCGATTGTACAAATTACTGAAAGGTTATAGTGCATTCTACTGGGATGGCCATAGTTGAACAATCATGACAGTCACTTTGGAGGCATTTTATCACAATGTCAAAACTTGTGCATTAAAGAATCATTGAAAATGTTGGACATTAATATAAGGGTAACGCTATTTTTCTGGGCATTATCATTTGCAGAAGCCCGAGGTCTTCCATTAACTGCCCTGAAAAAGGGCATTACCGTTATTATTATTACCGTTATTATAGCTAAAATGGATGGAATTTTTTATCAAATAAAAAGAAACAACAATATCAGGATTTACTGCAATCAACACGAATGTCACTGACCCACTTTTACAAATATGGAAACGTCATAGAACAAACCAGATGACGTCACTATTGAACGTGACCTCGCCTATCCTATCCTATGACGTCACCTAACAACGGGCGTGATGATGGCCCGTTGTCAAGCAATATGAGGGCATTATCAAGTTACAGTGGCCCGCTCATTTCTGATAACATGTGGGTGGTTTAATGATAATTCTATCCATTTTAGCTATAGTAAAATATACTACTCAAAAGAAGTTAAGGATCACCTGATTCTTTCACATTACTATAGTTAATCTGTCATGCCTTGACAGATTAACTATAGTAATGTGAATCAATTGTGTGGTCCTTAACTTCTTTTGAGTAGTATATATGTGTAAAACCTTTAAGACAGCATCACAAGTAAAATATATTGACTTGGAGTCAGTGTTTGAAGAACACGCCTGCCTGTCAGCCCGTGGCAGGTAGATTTTATGTCGGGCCCGTAGTTTCAAGTTTGTATGGGTCCTCATAGCCTGCAGTTAATTTATGTGTCAAATTACTTGTGACAATAAGCTGCAGTTTTGTTTCTAAATGAGGGCCTGACGAGTTTAGACAGGACCTGCAGCTTCTAAAGTACATGGGTCCTGATGACAGAATGGCAGTTCTTTTTATTTCAAACATTGCTTGGTGTGTTCCCTTTTGAGGAGTATGTATTTCCATCAAGTTTCACAATCCAGCAATAGTGAGTGAGTGAGTGAGTGAGGTTTTCCACCGCTTTTAGCAATATTCCAGCAATATCACAGTGGGGGAACACCTCAAATGGGCTTCACACATTATACCCATGTGCTGGAATATTGCTGGAACATTGCTAAAAGCGGCATAAAACCTCACTCACTCACTCACTCCATGTCCTGATCCTGTTAACAAGAGGTGATTGCTATCAACCAGTTTGTGTTCAACTCACTTTTACCCGGATTGATTCATCCGTGAATTGTGACTGCCTGATTAGCACACCGGTACAAGCCAGTTTCACGTCTGCAGTAAACAGAGCACACCAGTAGACATCCTTAGATTCTCAATAGGACTGGGACGGGTAATTCGGGTACTTGGGTCAGGTGGGTACTGAGTAGGACCCGGGTACCCACAGGAACCTGATATTTTGTATAATTACAATAACAACAATCACTTATGTTTGCATTTCTTTCTGACTATGCACGCATTCTTTCATGTTTGAATAAAGATAAAACTTCAGTCGACTTCAGTGTATGCATGATCAGATCATTATATACGTGTATGCAAACAGTATTTGCCAGGAATCAGGTGAAACAATTGCCAATCGGACATTTTGTACCAAGTCTTGAGACCTAGAGTGGTTACCCAGTAGGGTCGAGAAATCGGGGGACAGGTACGTAGGTAGTAAATTTGGACTCGTCCCAGCCCTAATACCTACACACCAAGGCCCTACAGCGACAACGCTTGAGCAACATACAGATCAACATAGATCAACAATGTCAGGATACAGTTGAGGCCATTAGTTTACACAACATTACATTACATCAAATCGTTAACTGACATAAAACGGACACTCTGAATTACTCAGATCCTGTCAAAGGTGAGCTTCTAATGAACCAGTATTTCACTGGTGGCAGTGTTGGTGGCTCCATCTAGTTCATCTTTCTGGTCAAGGTCAGATAACTCTTGTATGCCGTTCTGACTGGCTTCCTCGCTGGTGGTGTCGCTGTGGGTGTCCATCTCAGACATTACCTGCTCCAAGAGAGCGGCAGAGTCCTGTGAAACAGAGAACATCATCAAAATAGGTGGGCACATTCAACATTCAGGAGGAATCTGGACAGCACAACAGACATCTCCTTCATCATCGGCACATTCAGTACCTAGGCATCTGACCATCTTAAATTATGGGCTACATAAAAACTTATCATTGCTTCTTATCAACGAATCTAAAAACTATCTCGAGCAGTCAACAATGAATTGAGACCAATTTACTGGAATAATGTGAATAGAAGCACCAAATCCTCAGAAACAGACTTTCTAACTCCTTCTTCCTTGTCCAACCCTAACGCTGTAGAAGTTGCCCATATAATACACTACAGTATCAGCAGAAGCAAGCAGCGTGAGTGATGATGAGTGATGGTGAATTATAAAGTGTGGTTTTTTCACTGCTTTTAGCAATATTCCTGCAATAAACCAGACACAAGGTATGGGCTTCACACACTTTACCCATGTAGGGAATCAAACCTGGCTCTTTAACATGGCAAGCAAACACCTGAACCACAGGGCTACCCAATATTCCTTATCCATGAAAAACAAAGCAGAAGATTGGTCTAATGGATAGAGCAGTAAAAGATGTTGTTACCCTGCCTGGCGCTCGGCATTAAGGGGCAAACACAAACACTGGTCGGCTCGGAGTCAGCATACAGTGTCTGAGTGGGGTGGGGCAGTGGGTAGCCCAAGTGTTAAAGCGTTAGCTCGTCACGCCAAAGACCTGGGTTTGATTCTTGACATGGGTACAATGCGTGAAGCCCATTTCTGGTGTCCCCCACCGTGATATTGCTGGAATATTGCTTAAAGCTGGAATATTGCTTAAAGCTGGAATATTGCTTAAAGCGGCGTAAAACCATACACATTAACTCTGAGTGGGGTATACATGTTAAACTGTGGAATGGTATCTCAGTGGGCTAGCACTATGAAACTGGCATTAGTCTGGACTAGTACAAGCGTGCGCACGCACACACACATCTGCATGCACTTTGGTATAAAGTGTAATAATATTTAACACAACCTAAACCCAATTTCACCTCATCTAAACACTGATGCCTAGTGGGCTGTGTGTGTAGTTACTCGCTATTCAGGATATCTGACTGGATCCTACTAGAGGTAGGTATGCCCCTTTTGGTTAGAATTTATCCCCAGGAGCTTTATCAAGGTTGAGCTTGTCCTACTAGGTGACACAATGGATTGGGTGGTCCATAGGGCTAGAAGGGTAACTTGGGTAACTCGGGTTCGGTGGATCCTGAGCAGGACCCGGGTACCCACAGGACTACCCGGGCATGTGGTTAGTCATGTGACATATTGTTTAATGATAAAAACCGATCATAGCTCAGTGGTTACACTACACGTCGCTAATGTTCGCATTTCCTTGTGATGATGCACATTCCTCTTGACTTGTATATGTTTGAGTAAAGACATAGTTTCAGTCAACTTCAATGTATGCATGATCTGATCGTTTCATACATGTATCTAAATCGTTAAAACAGTTCCCAATCAGACATTTTGTACCCAGCACTTGAGACCTACAGAGGGTACCCAGGTAGGGTCGGGTAATAGGGGTCGGATACCCAGGTAGTAAATGTGGACTCATCCCAGTCCTAGTGGTCAGGCTCTGTGACTTGGTTGATTGTCTGGTTGACTTGGTTGACTCTAATGGCATTGGACATTGCTCATAATATCAATCACTGGATTGTTTGGTCTAGACTAGAGTATAATAGGTCAGGGTCATATAGCTGGAATATTGCTGAGTGTGTCGTTAAGCAAGAACAAAAACAAACCCAACAGATGTAGGTATTGAGTGGAGACTTACATGTTCTACATGGGACTTGATGTGATCGCGGAGATACCGGCGTCGGGAGAAGGCACGGTGACACACAGGACACAGGAACGGCTTCATCCCAAGGTGAGATCGCATGTGGCTCTTGCGGTTTTCCTTTCCTGTTGAAGAAAGTTTACCTTGTGAGCCCTGGCTCAAACTTTGACATGGATCATGGATCATGACTGTTGCATGACAACCGTATAAGGATTGATACCGAAACGTCGCCTTTACAGTAATTAAAGAAGTTGTTATCCATAAATTGTGTCCGCTTAGTCATGGTTCTGGAAGATGATTCCTCTAGGAGTAATTGATATTTGCAGCATTATTTGAACAGCAAATCAGTTAAATTGTTAGGTCAGGAGACAGCTATATTCGCTTAAATCTTTATTCAAGTTTGATCCCATGGGTAAAAATTGAAAGGATTACATTTTAAGTTCAGCCTTCCAAAGGGCATGTCACTTCCATTTTTGGAACACTTCAATTAAATGAACTAGCCAGTTAATGTTCATAGGACTTGAACTAGCCAGTTAGGCTGAAAAGACTTGAACAAGCCAGTAAAGTTGATAAGACTTAGACTAGCCAGTTAGGCTGATAGGACGTGAACTAGCCAGTAAAGTTGTTAAGACTTAGACTAGCCAGTTAGGCTGAAAAGACTTGAACAAGCCAGTAAAGTTGATAAGACTTAGACTAGCCAGTTAGGCTGATAGGACGTGAACAAGCCAGTAAAGTTGATAAGACTTAGACTAGCCAGTTAGGCTGATAGGACGTGAACTAGCCAGTAAAGTTGATAAGACTTGGACTAGTCAGTTAGGCTGATAGGACGTGAACTAGCCAGTAAAGACTTAGACTTGCCAGTTAGGCTGATGATCAACATGAAACGAGTCTGAAGGAGACAGGTTAGGCAAGCAAATAGAGGGCAGGCTGTTAAATGGCATACTGGATACCAGAAGGGGATATTTCTAGCATCTTAAACAATGCCCTATGGCTGGCAATTGGGGAACAAAGAAATTGATGCATTTTGTCAAATTTAGGATTTTTCTTATTTTTTAAAATTCTATGAAAATTTTGAAAATTCCAATGGTATAACATAAAATGAAGTATTAAAATTGCCTCTAAGTTTTATCTTAAAGGCTGATGTTAATACCAGAATTGGGACAGTTTTAATTGGGAATTTTGACCAACATAAGCCATACATCTGAGCCTATTTATCGGGCTCTAAGAACACCCAGATAGATCCCTGTACCTGCAATATTTTGGGCTAACACTTTGCCAATTAGAGAACAATAAGGAGTGAAATTGTTTTCTGAATGACATTGAGCACTGAGAAATGGATGAATTCCGGAACAAATTTTGTCATACTGGAGAATCTCTTTTGGCACACTGGACATTCATATGGCTTTTCCCCGCTGTGCATACGCATGTGGATGGCAAGGTTACGCGTTAATGCAAACACTTTCTGGCAAACTGGACAGGGGAACTTGGCATCTGGGGATGAGAGAGACGTAGCTTGGTAAAGACGAGTCAACGTGGCACAGTTCAGGGTTTGACATCTCTGTTAGCCATAAGCTAAGGTAAAGGACAGCACACGGTCCCACTCTTCACCTCTATCATACAGTAATCAACATTGCAAGACTTTAAGATTAAGTAGCTAAGGTTGGGACTGGCCAGAGTGAGGGCTTGTAGGGTTTACATCCACCTATGCAGCATTCAGATGAAAGATAGTGTAGTATAAGGGGAGGTAACTTGTGTTACCATACATGTACAGACACAAGATCCTCACAGCGATATCCCGTTTGCGGAGCTCTCTATACTATCGCTGCCACCAGTTAAAACTCCCCACAGTGATAGATTACTTCAACCATACTTTGAGTTGAACTCGCAACTGAATGACCGTTATGTTTACCAACAAGTGACGCCTGTCGTGATGACGACTACACTTACCCCTGTTAAATTACTTTCTTTGGTTGTCAATTTGAATTTCTATTTTATTAAAACCATCATGTAATTGATATAGTAAGAATGTAAGGGAAAAGTTAGTCTATTTTCCGTTAGTCTGCAATCTTGACCCAATATGATCAAACAAACAACAAGTTACATTCATGTGGGAAATATGGTCCATCGTAAACCTTTTCAAAAATAACTACGATGGCATTCCCAAAGACATAAACAAAAGTACGCAAGGTACTACATTTAGGGTTAGAGGCCAAATTTCAAGATTCTTGTAATTGCCACGCCCACACTGGTGGCAGCGATGTTACTAAGAGTGTAACGAAGGTGTTGAGTGCTGGGAAGGAGTTTGGTACAGGTTGTGTAAGGGGGATAACTCTAAAAGAATGTAGAACAAATATGGCGGATGAAGGGGATGAGTTGCTAGGTAAGCGGGTGCACAGTAAGAAAAGAAGGGAGGAGAGGGCTGTTAGACTGTAGGAGTAGGATTTGTACAGTAATGAAATAAAGACGTGTATTGATTGCAGCAGTGACCTGCATGTGTTCTCTGGGGAAGTTTGATGATTACAATATCATAGGGGCACCACACATACAACATTTTCCCCCTAACATGCTGTTATGATTTGAAGGAATAAAGTTTTGTTTGTTGTTTGATGTTGTACTCAGCAATATTCCAGCCGTGTCACGTGGCCTGCAAATGATCCTGTTTGGACTGGACAAACGGTCCCCACTATTGGAAAACAATGACACGCATTCAACCAAGTCACCGAGCATGACCACCCGATCGCATTTAAGCGACCAATTCTAACCCGGAATCCATTGGCTAATTGTAATTTGGTGGCCAGGTTAAGCAGAGATGCTGCTGTGGAAAGCCGTACATACCTGTCTTGTGTATCCTCATGTGTCCTTGGAGGTTACTGAGGCAAGGGAACTCCTCATCACACTCTGTACAGGGGTAGGTCTTCTTCATGCCGTCCAGGTCAATGTTGGAGTGTATGCTGAAGAAGTGCTGCTGCATGGTCCCGACTGAAGTGAACACTTTGGGGCAGAGGGAACACTTGATCCTCTCCTCCTTGTGTCCCTCACACTTCTTCTGGTGGGCCTGGAGGTACGTGGTGCTTGCAAAGTGCTGGTGGCATTGCGGACATTCCACTGTGGTCGATGATATTGGGGAGCTTTGACGAGACTTGGACGAGTTTTGGTAGGGGGCAGAAGCACCGAGAGCATCTTTGATGTCATTGTGTATCATGTATTTCTGGGAACTGTGCAGCTGGTGGGACATCGTGTTGGGGAAGGCTTTCTGAGAGTCAGGGGAGCCTTGAGTCGAGGAGCGATTCCCAGGGGACATGCGGAGCCCCGGAGAAGTGTTCATGCGAGGGCTTGAGGAAGTGGCTTGTTGGTGGGAAAAGAGATGGTTCTCAAGCTCGGCACTAAAGAAGAATTTCAGGTTGCACTGATTGCAGGCATACTTGCGGCCCCCGATCCCATGCTCTAGAGCATGGGCTTGGATATCTGAGATGGAGCTGTAGACATTGCAGCAAATACTGCACCTCATTTCACCAGCCTGGTATGTGTGCTCTATCAGGTGACACTGTAGCTTGGAGGGTGTTTCAAAGTTCTTGCCACACAGTCTACACTCATGAACGTTCCCTTCCTGAATCATATGAGTAGCAACATGCATCTGAATCTCATATTCTGTTCCAAAAGACTCTTGGCATTTAATGCACTGAAAAGTCTGCTTGTGGGTCAGTTTATGAACATCTAGTTGGGCACTTGTTTGGAAAGTTTGGCTGCATTTTTCACAAGTATGTTCAACAGTCTCTCCATGATAACATGGCTTACAGACATAGTATGTCCTGCCGCTGGTGTTCAGCTTTGAAACAAGGTTTTCCTTTGAGTCAAAGCTCTTGAGACAGACACAGCATGTATAGAAGCTGGGCTTTGACTGAAAATGGTGTTTGCCATGCATATTGAGTTCTACCAGTGAGGCAAGGGTCTGCCGGCACACAATGCACTGTAATAAGGACCCTTGGTAGCCATGTTCCTGGGAATGGATGTAGAATTGGTCCTCACTCTTCAGACTGATCTTACACACAACACAGGAGTTTCCCTGCTGGATCTTACAGTGCTGGAGCTTGTGTTCTGCCAGAATGCTCCCAGATGGAAACACTTCATCACAGATGTTACACTTGAGATTCTCCGAGCTAAGATGAATCCTCATGTGCTTCTCATATTCGGATTTGTTCTTGAAGGTCTGGCTGCAGTAGATGCAGGAGGACATCTGTCTGTCTCCAGTCAGGGCAGATATCAGGGCTGAGTTAGGGACCACCAGCTTGTCTCGAGGTGGAGTAAGCAGGTCAGCAATGTCAGATGTCTTGGTGACCTTGAGGCCATGATCCTGAGCTTTGTGCATGGTGAGGAGGGACTGTTGACTGAACTTCATATCACATATATTACACATGTGCATCGGCTCTGTGTTCTTCCAGATAGCAGATCCCATTGCTGCCGGTGAAGATGCTGGCATGGGGCTTGTCCTTGGAACTGGAGCAGGAACTTCTTGTTCAAAGAGAATCTCAGTGTCTTTTTCAGTTTTGATTTTTACAGCTGTAACTTCAGGTTTAGGGGGACGTGGTTGTTCATGCATTGGCTTGTCCCCATGGATATTCTGCATGTGCTGATCTAGAAGATACTCTATATGGAAAGAGCTGTCACACATAGGACACTTGAAGGGTTTGCTATGAGTTGTCAGATGACACTGCAATTCCATTTCATTAGAGAAGCTCTCCTTGCAAAAGAGACACCGGTATGGTTTGGACATGTGAAGATGGTTCACGCGAACATGGACCTGCCATTCAGTCTCTGAGCGGAAGATGTTGTCACATTGTGTGCACTTAAACAACTTGCACTCATTGCTATGTTTGATAGCAAAGTGGACCTGTATGTTGACCTTGGAATCAAAGATCTCCTTACAAAGGGAACACCTGTAGAGGTGGTGGGCGTGGATGTCCATCAGATGCTTCTGAAGCTCATCAGGCTTGGAGAAGAGCTTCATGCAGCTGGTGCAGCCGTACTCAGTCGTCATACACAGGTAATGGATGGAGGAGTGGTTCTCCAGCTGATCCTCCGTCTGGAAATGCTGGTTGCATTGCTTGCAGGTGAACTTGGTCATGACGGATTCCAGGTGGAGCTTCATGTGTGCCTGGAAGTTTGTCATGTCGTGGAAGGTGGCATTACACTGGTCACAGGTTAAACTGTTTGGTACACTCTCATATATACTGGTCCCATTGCCCATCACACCCATGTTCAGCCTTTTCGGGGGACTACACAGTTTGTGATCCTTGTTCAGCTTGGACCATGATCTCCTGTTCTTCATCTTGCCACCAATCTTAACCTTCTCCGAGGCTGGTGTTTTGTGGACAGCGTTCCGATGTTCCTCAAGAGCGGCTGGGTCTGAGAATGCAAGGGTGCACTGAACACAGTATATGGAGTCTACCATAGCAGTTGATCCTTCCTTGAAGTAGTGAGCAGTCTTCTTGTGTTCTGCAAGCGCTTCTATACTTGGGAACTGCTTTGTGCAAAGACTACAGGGGTACTTGATGTCCATACATGGCTGGTTCCTGTGAACCACGTTCATGTGATCATGAAGACTGTAAAGATTTGGATAGGGAGCATTGCAGTAGTTACACGTGTAGATCTCAGCCGGTTTTACACTATGCATGCTTTGCATGTGAATTTCCAACATTTCCAGATTATTAAAATCGTCTCTCATACAATAAGGACAAATCAATAGATCACTTGCAACACTGACTCTTCCAGTAGACAAAGATGAGTTATCTCCACTTAGCTGAACTAGGTTAGAGTTGTCTCCACTTTCATGAACTGAAGACAAATCATCTGAGTTAGGTAAGTTATGAGTGTCCATATGCTGACAAAGCAGTTCTGTGCTGTAGAAGTTATCAAAGCAAACAGGACACTTCAGTTCCAATGGGTTCTCATGGATGTCATGATGGTGATTGTCCAGAGCCTCCTGTCCCAGGAAACACTCCCCACACAACTGGCACTGACACTTCTCAACCTTTACTGTGTGAACAATGAGGTGAGCTTGGAGTTCTTTGGTGGTTGGAAATTTTTCTTGGCACTGTAGACACTCCAGTTGCCTGTTGCCTGCTGGCAGTGTTGATGAGGTCTTGTGGGCCAACACGTGTGACGTCAGGGACGCTGCAGTCAGGAAGCCTCGGGAACACACAGGACACTGGTAAGGTTTGCCACCGTCATGAGTTCGCATGTGACTCTTCAGATGATCACTCCTGTAACAAAGTCATGTTTATTAGTTGGGAATAATTATTCAGCTAACTTTAAATATTTATTTACAATGGTCTGAGTTGTGCTCCACAAAGTGACCTTAGGCAAGATATATTGTGTTAAGTTGGTTTACAGATTCTGCCAAAGTGCCAGAAAAAGAAAATTGAAAACAGTTTTAAAATTCCACCTGTAAACTTACGTCTACACACCAAGCAAATGGTGTATACAATAGGTAAAGCCTTTTGAAAAACAAAATAAATAATAATCTGAAACATCTCTTTCTCCACACTCACATCTACCAACAAGACTTTTCACACACACAAATCTCGAAACCAAGTCACAAAAAAAGTCTGGCCTTAGGGATGACAAAGGCCTATGATTGTCACAGCACTAACATTGCCTTGTGGAACAGAGCTCTCTAATGTCTGGCCTTAGCGATGACAAACGCCTATGATTGTCACAGCACTAACATTGCCTTGTGGAACAGAGCTCTCTAATGTCTGGCCTTAGTGATGACAAAGGCCTATGATTGTCACAGCACTAACATTGCCTTGTGGAACAGAGCTCTCTAATGTCAGGCCTTAGTGATGACAAAGGCCAATCAGTGTCACAGCACTAACATTGCCTTGTGGAACAGACCTCTCTAACGTCTGGCCTTAGCTATCACTAACATCACTTTGTGGAATGGATCCGTATCAAGTGTGGCCATAGTGACGACATAAGCCTATGAGTATCATAGCACTTGTATGGCTTTCCAAAATGTAGCCACCTGAAAGTCTTATTCCATTAACCATTAGCATCAACTACAATTACTTTAGGATATGATATATACCCAATATGTTTGTTTGAGACAGACAATGCCTCTTCCTTGACTTAACCTCTCAGGATAACAAATACTGTTTGGGCACTGACAATACAACCTTTTTAATAAGCAAATATTTCACTACAAAGACTGAGCTTGGATATCATTCTAAGGTACCAGACAACCATACTAAAAAATAACATGGTGTTGTTCAGTGCAAGTATAAACCAAGAAAGCATAACATCTTAGAGAATATTACATCAAATTCAGCTCGTGTAATGTAATAATCAACAAACTAATGTCATGAAGCAGAGGGGGGAGATATTTGTAGTCTGTCTGTTTGGTGAAACCAATTTTTTAATTTTAGCACTATCTCCTACAACTAATCCTCACTGCACTGTAGGTAAGACATACTCTACTGGTTCATGTCAAATGCAGTCCATGAAAAAGACTGGTTTTTCAACAAAGGTGTGTCCAGTACTCTCCTGAAATAATTGATTCTTCAGAAATTGTCAATATCCTATTATGTCAAAAATGAACCTTCATTTAATTAGCAAAAGATATAGTGTAGATCCTACTGTCATAATCTATGAAAAATGTCTGAAAGAAAATAAATATATATATATATGTCATGTCCAATTTCATAGAATTATGGAATATAGAATGTGAAGTATCTCTTAAATATAAGTTGATAGATGGCAAAGTAGACAAAATTTGTCATAGTAAAATAAAGGACAGGTACCAACAGTAAAATAAAAAGGTATTATCCATAAATTGTCTACTTTGTCATAAAAAAACTATTCAAGCAACATCATATCAAGAATAAACACCAAGTACAACTACAGACACTAATAAAAATTTACCAAGCATCTGTCCTACCTGAGCCGGGAACAAACAACTGTATCAACGTCACACAGGTAGCAAGGCGCAACATTAGCACTGTCACAGGTATACCATACCAGACAATAACAACCTTGAGATACTCCCCCACACCCTACTGCTGCCTCCACAGCAATTACTTCAGTTCCATATCGCTGGCACAGTACAATGACTGAGATTACTACAGGGTCTGTTGATGCATCCCTGGACAGCTTCCGCAACGATGAGTTGGTCACAAAGAGCAATCTACACCTACGAGACCAGGTTGGTTGGTTGGTTGGTTTGTTGTTTAATGCCGCACTCAGCAATATTCCAGCTATATGACGGCGGTCTGTAAAAAATCGAGTCTGGACCAGACAATCCAGTGATTAATATCATGAGCATCGATCCACGCAATTGGGATCGATGACATGCATCAACCAAGTCAGCAAGCCTGACCACCCGATCCCTTTAGTCGCCTTTTACGACAAGCATAGTCACCTTTTACGGCAAGCATGGGTTGCTGAAGACCTATTCTACCCCGGAATCTTCACGGGTCTATGAGACCAAGAATTGGAAGTAATACTATTGTGGTGTAAACTTGAGGGTTGTAATTATTTCTACATATATGATATGTTTGTTGTTTAACACAACACCCAACATTCCAGCTATGTGAAGGCAGCCTGTGAAAAATAAAGTCTGGACCAGACAAGGCAGTTATTGATATTATGAGGAAAGATCCTCACTGTCGGGGTACAACAACATGCAATCAACTGTCATGCGACAACTAGATACATAAGGATGCCTCTTACAACCAGTACGGGTTGCTAGGGACCTGTTCAACCTGTCATTCCTACGTGTCCCTACAAGACCATGAGGTGAGGCGAGGTGAAATGGTGTCTAATGTCGCATCTGGGCGGACGCTCTACCACTAGGCCATGGAGCGGTAAAAGCGATAATATTGTAGTGATAGCAAGGGCTGTAGTAATTACTCCTGCTTATATATGAAACCAAGGGGGTACTATTGGGGACATTTAAGTACTGAATTAGTGTTGGTCTGCAGGGAATTAAAGCCTGGACCAGACAAACCAGGCTTTTTTTCTTATTACATTGCCATAGTTTACAGGTCCAGAAACTTCAAAGTTGTCAACAGAGCAAGAGAAGTAACCATTCATTTAATGAAACCACTTAGCTTTCATTATATTTCTTATTTATTTCCCCCAACTGATAATACATTTAAGGCTTTTTAACTTCCTCATTACTTCAGTGTGACATTTGGGTACAAATACTAGTACCTTTATCAAGCACTACAAAATAGTGCTTTTCAGATTAATAATATATCCCTTTTCAGATGTTTAGGGTCAGCAGATCCTTAGACAAAGGCATAAGAACATATTGTTTTACAATTACTGAAATACTGGGCATTGTAACTGTTTCATTGAAATTCAGTTAATCCAAATGGTTTGGCTCGTCACGCCGAAGACCTGAGTTCGATCCCCGACATGGGTACAATGTGTGAAGCCCATTTCCGGTGTCCCCCGCCGTGATATTGCTGGAATATTGCTAAAAGCGGCGTAAAACCATACTCACTCACTCACTCACTAATCCAAATGGTACTGGTCCACATGATATTTCCAGATTACTAAATGATGAGTATTTGGTAATGTCCTATTGTATTACCAAATTCGACGTAATAAGTGCCCAGGGAGCTCTCAAATTTAGAAATAGGGGGCTCTTATTAGAAAATAATATTACATAGTACATTAATCAATCGGAAGGGATGCTATTTGGGATTGTTCACTAGCCAATATATAAGCAAATATCACTGTGGGCGCTTATTAGAGCAGGGCGCTTATTACGTCGAATACAGTAACATAGACATTGCCAACATCTCCAAAATGTAAAATGCAGTTTTATTCATATCAGACTTTTTACTCTGATACAGTACCTCCCTAAGTGATGATCTGAGGTGAACTTTTTAATCAGCTAATCAGCATCAAGGCTTCTAAATTCTTGGTACAAGAGAGAGTAGCATTCAAATCAGCTTATCTGATTTTTGTATCTCAAAAAAAGGAACTTAAAACGATCAGTTCTGAATGTAAATAAAAAAGGCAGACAATATATTGTGGATATTTTATACACCCTTTCATTCTGTGCAAATCTGTGGTGTATTGGGTGTAAAACTTTGAATATGACTTTCTTAGTTGGCATTGTCAGATTTTCATGTTGAGGTATCGTATCGGAGTAAAACATCTGATTTGAATGAGATTGCAAATAATGTTCATGTCATTATAATAAGCACCAACTTGTCTTGTTTTGACTCTCACGCCAAGCATGGGTACTGTCAGTCTTTTATACTGATGGAGATGCTTCATGGAGTATTTGATTTATGTTCCGGAAACAAAGCTTGATGGATGAAAGGATGCACAGATACATGGACAGATACTTCAAGGTGCCACAGTTAGCTGTAGTATTGATTGCACATACTCCGAAACACAATATTCCTTTTCCTGTTAAAATCAGAATCGATGTAAAAGTAAAAGGTCAATAGGATGTGCATGTGTGTTGCATTGGAACCATGCAGATGCACACAAGGCTACCCTCAACACAGTCAGGTTACAAGGGAAAACATTTGTTTTTTCCCCAGGTCTTGCTGAAAAATGTATTCTAAAGCAGTGTTTGAAATAATTTTAAAACCCTACAAGACAGTCAGGCTGGTGACCCATAAATGTTACCTGCCCATCTTGCCCAAAGTTACCTGCCCGCAATCAGGTAAAAATAAGAGATAAATCATGTCTTGATTCAGTTGGAATAATACTAGCAATTACTTGAGAATCTACAAGGAGTTATAATGAAACTTAATACAGAAAGTTGGCTTAAAATTATCTGTCAGACAGTTGGGCAAATAGAAAATTTCATGCAGCCTGACAGAAAAGTTACCAGTCACGGACAGGCGGGTAGGTAGTTACCTTCGCAAGCATCTCAATTATCCAGTGTCCTTAGAGAACAACTATATCAACACGAGTCGAAAAAAGTTCTGAGGTTTGCCATGGGGTGTGGATATGCTTTGATTTCAAAAGACTCAAGGGTGAGATTCTGTTTATCATACCCAGTGCCTTGAGTCTAAAAAAGTACAGAGATTTGCAGAGACATTACTGATGTCATTTGAATGTGACGTCATGGCAACCAATGATGTCACAATGGTCTGCAAAGCATTGTGATGTAAGTTCATGGTAGTAATATGGTATGGTGTCCAGTAGTTCCAGGGTAATAACATAGACATATGCTACACTGGACAATCAAGGTTTGAGAGAGAGTCAATAATAATTTGTTATTATTTTTCAT